GGTCGCCTGCCCCGCGCGTGACGGGCGGAAGGGCCGGACGCCCCTAACGGCCTGAGCCCCGCGACTTGAGTGCCGCCCTGGGTGGAGGGACCTGGCGTGGGGGTTTTGACAGAAGCGCGTAATTCGTGTATTTTGAAGTCCACAGACACCGTAGTGATTGAATTAATTGAACAAATATGGGTCATAGCTCTTGTTCCCTGCCAGGCACAAAGCCACTCGAGAGCCATGCGTATCTGCGTGGAGTTTGCAGAGCACTGTGCATTAACTTCTAAAATATACACTTGTGAAATTACTGCGTGTTTTGCAATGCAAAATGCCTTCCCTTGTAACTCCATATAGTGAACAGATTTTCAGTTTTGAGGAAAGAAATACTACATGAATTTGATATAATCCCTACAAACGAAAAAGAGATTAAAAAGGTCCTAGTAATTCCAAACACGGAAGTGTAGAAAAATAGAACAGGTAGTAACAGATACTATGGTTATGGGCCATTATTACATTGCTCTAGGCCTAATTAAGGTTGGTATCTCCTCAGCAGGTTTATCGTTTCACATTGCAGGACCATTAAAATAAGGTGGAAGTGATAGGAGTGAAAGTCAAGCCAACAGGTGAAAAGCAAAACTACAGATTTAAGACCTATATTGAGACAAGATTTTGGACCGTGTCTGCTCATACACAGAATTGTGTAGAAGCAAACAATTTCTTTTTAAATTACTATTTTACTGTTTGGTTTTAATTTGTCGCATCTGTTCTATATTCCTTTTGGTTTCTTTTAATGACTTCTGGACAATTTAATTTCCATTTTCTTCCATCAGTTAGGTGGTTATACATTCTTTATACTCTTAGTTGTGTTTAAATTACTGTTACGTACAAATCAGTCCATAATGAAATGACCTAAAGCCATAATTATTTACTCATGATTCCATATTTTCTGGACCCGAAATTCAGTCAGGGCATAATACGGTGACTCATCTCTACTCCAAAATATCTGAGGCCTGGCTAGGATGGCTCAGATAGGACCACATGTTATGGGACATGAGGATGGAGTTGGAGCTGCATGACAAAAGTAAGTTGACCACGGTATGGAAAATACGAACCTAGAAGCTAGGACTGCTGGAGCAGGAAGAAGGCTGTTGGGTTCAATCCTTGGTTTTCTCCACGTGGTTGATTCAGCTTTCCTCAAACACTAATCTTAGGATTGCGAGAGGCAACATTCCAAGAGGACAAGCCTTTACTTGCACCATGCTAACTAATGTGTCATTGGCTAAAGCAAGTCACATGACCCAGCCCAATCTGGGAAGGCTCTGCACAAGGCTAAGGAAATCGGGAGGTATGGTTCACTATGGATCACTTAGATTACGGGTGCATTGCCTTTATCAAATTAGAGATTAATAATAATTAAAAGGTACTTCCAGAGACAGGTACAGTGGTACACGCCTGTAGTCCCAGATGCTTGGTAGGTTGAGGCGGGAGGATTGCTTGAGCTCAGGTTTCCCAGGCCAGCCTAAGGCCTAAGCAACATGACAAGGCTGCCATCAAAAGGGGGTGGGGAAGGGAAGTTAGGTAGGTAGGTTACTTTTAGGAGTAGCCTACCTAAGATAAAAGCTTTTGGGATTCTAAAAAAAATCTTTTCTTCCTCAGGCCCTGAACTCAAGTATTTTTACCCCTCACCCAAAAACCCTGAGGCAATTGAAAATGAGTTCATTTCTCAATCTCTACTACTACTGTACTTTCTGAAAGTCAGTTGCCTCAAAAGGAAAAATGGCACCAAGTTATGCACGAAACATTATTAGATTTAGGTGCCTCGGATTTATAGAATTGTAGTTGTTGCAGAAATGGTAGCCTTTGCTTTGTCTACCTCATGTGTAACCCATGGAAGATAATGAAATAGGAAGACCTTACAAAGCTAGAAACCAAGAGGTTAATTGACCAAGGACTTAGAATTGTCGCTATGATTATCTGACAGAATTTGATATGTTTTATGGACCAATGACCACTATGTGTTTTTCATTTTCTCCTTTACAGGCATTTTGCCAACATCCTGTTCCTTATCCACTAGGCAATATTTAGTAGGCAGTACTGAGTCAAGTAACTTTTCTTCAAGTATCGGTTGCTACAGCATGGGGATCTACACTCTTGATGAAGACTACTTACTCCTAACACTGTCAGGACTCTTGGACCCTGGTCTCTGAGCTCACTGTAGCAATTGGATGAGACTTTGAGATTCCCTAGGGTAGAGAAGAGTGTATTCCTTGAGTGAAAAGAGAGATGGGCTAGGGAAGACACTGTTTCCTTTTTCCTCCTTATGAGAAAGATTCCGATACCCTCCCCCAAGTCTGGAGGGTGGATGCGTGGCAATGTGTCTACCTGAAATTTTCATTTCCCTAGATCCCATGCAGTTATCATTGACCAGAAGATACAGTTCTAGACATGCTCAAAATTTCTAGAAAACATTTCCTTTCCTAATAATAGCCACCCCTACCATTTCTTGTTCTCTTCCTCTTCCTAGAATACTGACATGAGGATGGAGAAAGTCTCGTGACAAAAATAGAGGTGAGCGTATTGTGCAAAATATGGAAGTCAGAAGCTGAGAAAGCTGAGACAGAAGAAACTTGGATCATTCATGACATCCTGAAGCTGCTGCAGAAGTACTAGAATAAGTACATCTGGGCTTAAATGTCAAAAATAAATACCTATTTTTTTAGTTTTTTGGCTATATAGCTGAACATAGGCTTGGCCAATACAGAAACTGCCATATTATCTCCTAACTAGTCTTGCTTGTACACTTCACAAGTCAGTAACATGACTTAGTATGTCAGAAATACAAGAGCTGTCACCAAGCAGTGCATCGATTCTTATAACAAAATTTCCTGCTAATTCCATAGAAAAATCAAATTATAAGATTAAGAAACATTTACTAAAGAAAAAATAGGAAAGGAGCGGAGATTTAGCTCAGTGGTGCTGCTGTGTGCCTCTCAAGCACAAGGTCCCCAGTCTGATCACCAGTACCAAAAATGAAAAAATAACAAAATATCCATGGTGAAATCTTCTACAGTCTCATTTTAACATCTGATATAATTACTTCTGTCTGTGTCAGTCACCTTCCCCATTGCTGAAAAAATATCTGATACCTGCAACTTAAAGGGAGAGAAGTTTATTTGGCTCATGTCTTCAGATGTTTAAGTCCATGATTGGCTGGCTCCAATGCAGAGACACGGTAGAAAAGTAAGGCAGAGCGGTGCTTAGTTCACGGCAGGTAGTAAGCAGAACACAGGAAGAGAGTCAGTGAGATGTACCCTCCAAAGGCACTCCACCAATGAGCTGCTGCCTCTGTTTAGCTGTGAGCATCAGTGGATTAATCCATTGATGAGTACAGCGACTTCATGACTATTCACCTTTCTGTGAGTCTCATAATACAACAAGTTGACTTTAGGCTCGCCTGGCGCAATCTCACGGAGTTTTTTTCTGTCATAGCATTACCGTATATATTATTTTGCCTAACATTATATCATAAATACCTTTCCATGTTAGCACAATCTTTTAAACAAGTAGCTGTTTAATATTCCAAGTAACTATAATGTGCTATTTATCTACTTTCTTGTCATTTAAACGTGTTAGTTTACTGTTTTTTCTTTCTGATACTGGGGATTGAACCTTTTTCACAAAGCTACATCCTCTGCCCTTTCAAAATATTTTTATTTTGGTACAAAATCTTGCTAAGTTGCCCAGGCTGGGATCAAACTTGATATCCTCCTGCCTCAGACTCCCAGAGTCCTGGAATTAGGGTGTGAACCACTATGCCAGGCTCAGTTCTCTTTTTTAAGAAAATAGCACTCACTGAATATCTACTTCATTCAAGTCACTGGATTAAATATTAAAATGCACAGAAATAAGATAAATAAGATGTAGCTACTCCCGGAATGTTCTTTAAAACTTCAAAAGATATATATACATGCAAATAAATGACATATATACATATATATGTATATAAGCCATTTAATTCTCTTGGAATATGCTTTAGAATGAAAATATTTTAATTTTTAAGTATTCTTTTCATTGCTAATTTGCTAACTTCTTATTCTCATCTGCTGCTTTTTTTTTTTGGTACAGGGATGAAACTCAGGACCTTGCACTTGCCAGGTAGGTGCTGTGTCACTGAGCTAAATCCTGGGCCTTGTCTGCTGCATTTGCATTAGTATAACTAACCAGTGCATTAGAATACTCCTAATGAGTAATTTACAAAGGTAAAAGCCAAGACTTCTTCCTCAAAATTTCAAGTGACCAAAGGCCCCTAGTTTTCCTTTTCATTAATGGCAAGTGTTATCAACTATAAATGTTCTGTTACTTCTTGTTTTCACAATTATTAGTATGTAATAGTTAATTTCCCAACATCATTCTCCTGGGAAAGACAATTACTTTTGGTTACCACACCAAAATGGAATCCATGACCATCATAGCTAAGAGAGCACAATGAAATACCTGAAATTTGAAAACAGAAGCTTGTCTTTCAGTATTTCTGCACAGAAATCACATGGAGAATACAACCAGTTTGCATAAATGGTAGACTAGCAACTCGTATCCATGAGTGCTAAATTTGAGCTGTAATGTTTTCTATGACTGTGTATATATGGGCAGAAATTTCAAAAAAAAGTTTGCACATTCAGGTAGCTGATATATCCACAGTGACAAAAAAATCAAGTTTTTATTATCTAGGCAACTAAATTACAGTTGTTTTTAAATATATAAAATCTATTACTGAAATTTTTCTCTAGCAGTTGTTGATAATGGGACAATTCCTAGAATTTACCTATGGAAAATCTCCTATTTTCCTGAGAGGAGTTCTGTGCTCTTGGGATCATAGAGCAATACAAGATTTGGGCTGAAATTCATCTACTTAAAGTGGGTATCAGATTTGGTGTTGGTGTGAAAAAATTAGACAGTGCTACCCAGGAATGTCAGAATAGCTAAAGGTAGGGAATTTAATCAGCATAAACTAATGGTGAATTAATTAAATGCTCAGAGACAGGCTGGTTTATAGATAGTCTTAAACATGCATTGATAACTGTAAATTTCAAAATCATATTTCCCATAGGTTATGGAATACCCATTTTGCAAACCACTTCCAAGTTCTGAAAGTACTTCTCAGTTAAAATCTTTCTCCTGAAACTCACCTTTACCTCTATCTCTAGTGAGACTGCAAATTACCTCTGCCTGAGAAAGGTGACAGTACAAGGCCTAGTAGAAAATGAGCCATAAAATGAATAGCAGAAATTATAAAAATGCATAAGCAAGTTCACAAACTAGTCTGGTTATCTGAGATTTGCATTTGTAAATTGCCTAATTACCTGCTGAACTGCTTATTTTCATAAATCTGGAAAGTCAAGTAAGCACTTCAATTTCCTTGTTTTAGACCTATTGAGCAAGTCTTACTGCACATACTGAAAGTACTGTCTGATGTAACTGGTTTTGAGTCCATATGAGACAATTCCTTTAGAGAAGTTCTCAGATATTTTTCTGACCATTCGCTTTATCCAGTACACATTTACCACATGTGTACATGCCAGCCAGTAGTTGTGCAGTGGTGACTAAGACAGTCTCCACTCTTAGTTTATTTCAATTCAGTGAAGTTTGTAAATTGGCCATCCCAAATCCCTGGGAAAGTATGCTGCCAATTCCCCAGCCCCAATCTAGATCTCCTGAGTCAGAATCTCAGCATTAAGGGGGAGAGGAGTCTGCCCTTGAAATCATGATGCTGCTGTTTTAGGATCTCTTGGTCTTTTAGAACAATTGAGGGTAATGTCGGGCGTGGTGGCACACACCTGTAATCCCAGCACTCTGGAGGCTGAGGCAGGAGGATTGCTGTCAGTTCAAGACCAGCCTGGGCTACATAGTGAGTCTCAACTACATAGTGAGACCCTGTCTCAAAAAACCAATAAACAGATAGGTAGATAGATACATAGATAGAACAATTGGCCAGGAATTTAGCTCAGAGGTTCTGCCACCAGCCTCACAAGCGCAAGGACCCAAGTTCAATCCCTGGTACCAAAAAAAAAAAAAAAAAAAAACGAGGGTAGGAGGAGGTGGCTTGGAGGTATGGCTTAACACAAAAACAAGTACACTGTGGTAACATAATAGAGACATACAAGGAAGGTGCTAAGAATATAGAGAGGGAAAGTAAGCCTAAGTATATTCTCAGAAAAGATGAGCGGCAGAAGATTTCTTGAAGTATCTAGAAGGAAGAAATGCAGTTGTTTCTACTTGAAGCACATCTAAAATTTAATAGATACCCAAAAATACATGAATACAAAATAGGGCTGGGGATTTAGCTCAGTGGTTCTGCCCTCTTCTTCACAAGCACAGGTCCCGAGTTTGATCCCCAGTACCAAAAAACAAAACAACAAAACGAGCAAACATAAATACAAAATAAAAGAAGCCCTCTACTTCAAAAAAAATGAATTCCCAAGTAAAATGATAGAGTTTGATAGTTGTTTGCAGAGATCACCTGTGTTAAAAGTACTTTTATTTGTGTGAGTTTATCCTAAGAATATAATTAGGGTTATGGGTGTAGGTATGGTTACAAAGAAAATAAATTGGGTCTGAGTAGTTGTTTTCATCCATCCCGAACTTAGTTGTCTGTGGGACATCTTTCCCTTTTTACTTCTTACACTACTGTGAGACATTCTGGGCCCTAACTAGCTTCCATTTTTTGCTGTTCAGCCTCTGCAAAGCCAATGCTCTCTTTGCAGTAACAAATTTTTTCCAGCACAGTAATAGAATTTAGGAATTGAATTTGTCGGTAGCCCTGGCCAGCTGCACCATGCAGGCTCATTTACATAGCCTCAATTCTCATATGATGTCCAGTCTCAGTATGGCGATTTTGGAAGTCTGGAGAGATCATTCTGGTGTCCATCTGCCTTTCATCCCTGATTCTTCCATCAGGAAGATAGTGCTTAGGGTGTCCAATCTTTTGGCCTCCCTGAGCTACACTGAATGAAGCAGAATTGTCTTGGGCTGGGCCACATAGAAAATCTGTAATATGTTTAATGTATATAAGTAGCAAAAGTCCCTGCACTTTTTGCATTTTAACTTATTATTTTATAAAATAACACAACAAGCTCAAATAAATAAGAACCTTTTCATGTCTGTTTAGTTATTACTAGGTAAATACCAGGCTGGGGATTTAGCTCCGTGGTTCCACCACCTGCTTCACAAGCGCAAGGTCCCAAGTTCAATCCCCATACCAAAAAAATCAAAATAAATTAATAATAGTAATAAATACCCATGTATAAACTGTCCCCAGGAAATTTGAAATGATGCAGGTGCTGGATGGAATTTACTTTTCCTGCTTCATTAGCTGTGTTCAGCAGGCCTACTGCTTGAATAAATCAGATGTCTAATCAATAAATTATTTTCATGCTCAGAATTTCAGGTTTTTGTACTTCAGCATAGTTTGGTTTTATTCTTTACTATAAGAAAGCTTAATAGCAATGTGATTTAAGGTTTTGTTTTGTTTGGGGGTATGATTTAATTCATGGGTACTTTTAGAACCTAATAGATAATCCTATTGCCTTTATTTTTCTAATTAAACTATTCCTAAATACTTTGAAAATATAAAATATTCCTGAATAAAAAAATATAAATACTTGGTGCCGGGGATTTAGCTCAGTGGTTCTGCTGCCTGCCTCACAAGGGCAAGTTCCTGAGTTCGATGCCCAGTACCAAAAAAAAAAAAAAAAAATTATATATATAATATATATAATATACACACACACACACACACACACACACACACATACCTGTCTTCATAGGCACACAGACATATAAGTTGAAGCATTAATGTTGCTAATCATTGAATTTTACTCAGCAAGTCACACAAGTGAGCATAATGTCTGATACACGAAGGTTTTAATTCCACTTATTCCGTGTGGTGGGCACAGGAGGCACAGTTAGCACTGCACCATGTTCCCCTAGACAGGTTGTCACCTACACAGTTTGTTTCCATTCAAACACCATTCGATTGAATCATGAAAAATCACGTAATAGTATTAGAAGTTTATGATCTTGTGGTATTACATTACTAGCTGTTCAGGGCTATGTGTGACCCATGTGTTACCAGCTGACATGTATAGCTTAACCCAAAAGCTTCATCCTGGCCTGTGCATGAGAATCATCTGAGCCCCTTCAAAAGTGTGTGTGTGTGTGTGTGTGTACTTGAATATCTGTTTCCAGTCATTGTACAAGACCAGTTAAATCAGAATTTGTCAGATAAGGCCTGTGCATGGAACAGGGACTGTGTCTTTTTTATCCTGCTGTACCCAAGTGCCCTAGTAGGACATTTCACATACATCAGGTAGTCAACAATTCCATTTATTTATTTAGCATATATTTATTGAGGATTTGTCTTCTAGGCATCTTTTCTTTTTCTTTCTGTTTGTTTCTTTTTTCTTTTCTTTATTCCTTTTTTTTTCCAGTGCTGGGATTGAACCCACATTCCAAGAGTTTCTAAATCCTAGATAGAGCAGAATAAAACAAATGATCAACTCTTACCAACATTCTAGTGTGGGGAAACAGGTGGTATTAGATGGCAATGAAAGTTGTAAAAATAAAACATGGTAAAGATAAGACAACCACATATTTTATCAAATAAGGACCCAATGAGAGTTATTCATAATATGTCAGAACAATTCACACGGAACCAGACCGGTCCTAGATAAACTGAGAAGCACGGTAATCCTACAAAAAGTGATAGAAAGTGATGTAGGAAAGGGAATGAGGTGCTTTTTATTTTTTTTTAAAGATAAAGATGTGCTATTTAGAGAAGGCTGAATGCCTCCCTTTAAAGGAAACGTGTAAGCAGAAACCTGAGGAAAATGAAGGAGAAAGCCACAAGAACATTAGGGGAAGGGTATTATAAGTAGCTAGACCATCACGTGCAAAGGCTCTGAGGTAGAGAACTTGGTAGTTAGAGGGAAACCACATAGCCAGTTTGACTGGAGTGGAATGAACAAAAGAATGCTATTGATGAGGTCAAAGAGATGGCCAGAGAACAGATTCCAGAAGATATTTTAAGCTTATATTGAGAACTTTGGAATTTACCTTGAGACAAAAATTTAAATCAATGTAACTTAAATTTTAAAAGA